CTCAACCGCCTGCGGGAGCAACACCGCAGCTGCCCGGGCAGCACCGGCACCGTGCCACGGGCAGTGGGTCCGTGCCCACGTCCCTGCAGCCCTCGCTCAGGCCACTGTGCTGCTGGAGCAGCCCTGCCTGGCTCGGTGCCAAACCTCCCCTCAGATAGGGACCCCCGAACTCTGCGCCAGGGGGAAATGTGGAGGTACAACAGCTGCTGGCTCAAGCAGCCTCTGCAGTGGCGCACAGGGCAGGTGGGCAGCCATGACCACACCACAGGCCCCCGGCTTGGCTGGCAAGAGCCCATGTGGCCAGCTGGGGCTGGGACCGACAGGCAGCAGGGATGGGAGGGATGCAGGGGAGCCACAGCATCCAACAGCATGGCCCCTGCTGTCCCTGGCACTGGCCCCAGCCCTGCCCCAGCCCCGTACCCCCAGCTCTGTTCTGACACCCCGCAGGCTCCCTGACGGTCTCACTCACTTGTAGAAGTTCCTGTTGACCTTCTTCTCAGCAGGGAAGCCCATCATGCCACAGACGACACGGCTGTTCTGGCTGTTCCAGCCCTCATCGCAGATCTGTGCCCAGCCATCCCTGTAGCGCACCTCCACAATGCCCTCAGTCACCGGCAGCTGCCGCCGGCCCCCGGCCACCACCGGCCGCAGGCGGACCTCCTCCACGTGGCTCTGCTCGCTCTGCAGGGCACAGGGCTTGCATGGCAGCCCGCCGCCCCGGCTCCCTGCCAGCCCCTTCCCAGGAACGCCCTGAGGATGTGGGCACCCGTGGGAGATGAGGGTCCCCAGTCCCTGGTGGGGAACAGGGACAGGCAGGTCCTGCGTCCCTGCAGGCCACATCCAATGGCCCTGGGTGGCCAGGACCCAACCCCATCCTGTGCAGCCAGACCCCACGTCCCCCCAGCCCGCGGGTGCATCTCCTGGGAGCACAGAGGGGTGAGCCAGCACTGCCGTCCCGCCACCTTGGGAACCTGCACCCCAAGGGAGGGTGCCCAAACCACCTGCCCATAGCAGGACAGCAGTTGGGGTGCTGGGACATGGCCACAGCCCCCCTCGCCTCGCAGGAGACCTGGTGTTCCGTGCCCAGTGCTGTGCCATGGCCCCGTGCCCAAGCCACGTCCTGAGTGGAGCCTCATCCTCCACAGACACCGTGGCTGCAGGGGGACAGGGCCCCACAAGAGCTGGTTTGAGAAACAGAGAGTCTGGAAGAGGGAAAGAGGGAAAGGAAGAGGCCAAGTGTGCTGGAGGATTGGGTCTGGGACTGAGGATCCCCGGCAGCCAGGAGAAAAAGAAAACAGGTTGCAGAGGTGTGAGACAGACCCTTGGCCCAGAGAAGTTGGGGGGGGAAGCAGCAGATCGGGATGCTCAGGGTGGCTGTGGCAGCTCCATGCTCCCAGGCAGGGCACGGGAGGGATGTGCCTGGTGCCAGGCTGCCCGCTGGCTCCTGCCTGCTCCCTGCAGCGCCGGAGCCGGGTTGGGCTGGGTGCACCCCAGGGAAATGGGTGCTCAGGCGACTTGGGGGCACAGGCAGTGGGGGAGCACGTTCCCCTCTCCACGGGGAGATGGGGACAGCCCCTGTGCTGGGGCTGAGGGGAGGCACTGACATGATCCTCTGGTCCAGCCCACAGGCGCCTGCCAGTGTGTCATGTGGAAGCTGCCTCCCAAATATTCGGGGGGAGTGAGGGCTGGTGGGGCTGCCCACGGCAGGGCTCGGGCACCTGGCACTGCATGACCCTGGGCCAGCAGCTTCCTCACCTCGATGATGTTGGAGTCCTTGAAGCCTGGAATGCGCTCATCCTTGCAGATGACACCTGCATCTTCCTCATGGCTGCAGTCGCTGTTCCCCCAGCCCCGGTGTTTGCAGTCCCCGATGCTCTTCTCAGCGCCGGCACAATTCACGTTGTCCAGCCAGATCCGCCCTGCCAGGCACCAGGGCAGGGGTGAGGGGGGGCCAAACCCATGGAGCATCCCCTGGGAGCGGGGAAGGTGCTGGTGGAGCACGGCCAGGGTCCACGCAGGGGTGCAGCAGGGGTGCGGATGTGGGCCGGGGGCAGCCCCCCCTCGGCACGAAGCTGAGGCCAGTGAAATGCCACGAGCAAAGCCCTGAGCGGGGGATCCACAGATGTGGAGCTTCCACCTCCCAAGAGGCTGGTCTGCCACCACAAAGCCCCCCATAATGTGCGCCCCAGGGTCGGTACAGCTCCTCACCTGCGCCGTACCCCTCAGCAGCCCCGCAGCTGCAGCGTGTGCTGGTGACTGCCCTGTGCCCCGGGTACCCATGCGGCAGCTCACAAACACACGGAGCCTTGTCGCCTGCGTTGCGTGTGCATACACACACGTGTTCACACCCTCCCGCACACACCCACAATGCCGGGCACTCGGCACCACCTGCCCGCCGCCCCTCTTACCGACGCCTTTGCCGTACTTGGCGCTGTGGGCCCAGCCAGTGGCAGCCACAAAGCCGAGGTGCCGGCACAGCACGTGCGCGTTGGCCAGCGTGAAGTCGTCGTCGCAGATGGTGCCCCACTCGTCGTTGTAGAAGACCTCGACGCGGCCCTCGTTGTGCTTGCGAGGGTAACCAGCCAGGCGGAACTTCAGCTGGGAGCCGGGGCCGTGCGTGGGGGCCGGGGGGGTGGGCTGGGCACTGCCCACCCACAGCCACACGCTGCTCAGCAGCACCAGCAGCTCCTGCCGTGCCCGCGGGCCGCAGCTTCCCATGGCAGCTCGGCTCTGCGAGGGCAGGAAGGGTCAGAGCACGCGGGACGCTGAGGCACTGGCCCCCCGGCGCAGCCCCATGCTGGGCCATCCCCC